GGCACATAGCTCGAAGAGCTTATAGTCAGTTATTACAACTTTATTTACCCGTATTACCTAATTACCGGCACATCTTCAGGTTGGATGTTTGGCATTTCCAATCGTACCAATATGGGAAAATTTCAGACTGAAAGGTAACTAATTTCATTTACGTTCGTAATTAATTTGGTGTTCAACACCATCCATGATACTTAATGATATAACAAAATCAGAAGTGTGCAAAGTTTATGAATGTAAGTAAATATAATAAATCATTGACGTAAGAATTCAGACACTTAAGTTAACTTTGAAAATAGGCTGTAAAGTGAAAAAAAAAAGAAAAATAAGATATTTTCCTTTAAATTCTATGAAAGCAGAATTTCAATGAGATTCCATTTCAACAATCCATCATTCTCCTGCAGCTAAAATTAACACCTCTTCTTAAAATTGCCATTATCCCATCTCTGTCTTGAACGACTACTTTAGTTAAATTACTCGTTATAACCACCAGCGGGGAAATCACCGTGGCCATTAAGACCACACGGCAGATAATATCGCGAACTCCCCACTCTGCCGCGAGTCGGTTAAATTTAATCACCTACCCGTTATAAACTCCTCTAATTAATAATTAACTTGATTTCCCCGCGTTTACTGATACTCGTAGTAATTATTGTAATATGAGTTAAATATATTTCGTAACGTGGTCCGTTGACGAGCAGGCTTTGTGTGGTTACAAGAGAATGAGTGATGTTTTGGTTGCAGACCAGATTTTCTTAAATAAACAGTTTCTATTTTAGGAACAACCCTAAAACGGAGTGATTGCTTCAGTAAAGTTGCTGTCTTTTAGGCCACGCATTCAAATACCATGAATTTTCAAAAGTTTTAACCGGAATCAACGTTTTCGATAAATAACTAAACTGAATGTTCCCAGACCACATGTAAAGATTCTTTTTGTGTAACAAGTTTTAAAGGTTACTGCGACACAATACATGGCAATAAACGTTTTATTTATTTATTATTTATTTATTTAAACATCTAATGAAATCCTATCCCAAATTAAAGGATTGAACGCTGTTTATTCGTCATTAATACCCGAAGGTGTAATTTAAGTGATTCACGGTCTAACCCATGAAGGGTTAAAGCCTGCTTCTCACGCTATCCACACATTATCAGTACAAACTGTAGCTTTATTTGATTACGGTACCGTCATGACACCTACAATAACCCAATAATAGCCTCGCAAGCAAGATTGAACTTTATCACGCAACAATAAGGCGCGTTAGACAGCAGCTGCTGGGCCATAAAACAATGAAAAACGTTCATAAAGACGCACTATTTAGTGGGCATATGCCCGTCGTTAAATGGATAATTAAAAGTGTGGCATAATTTTCCTGGACCGAATGTACTTTCAGCCACAGGTTTGTTATGTACACTTCCGAGTTTCTCCTTTATCTGCAACTAGCTTTCTGAGAATTTTGCCTGTCACAGAAAAACTTTATCGCGTGCGTCTCTGTTTCAAAAACCGGGATAAAAACTATCCTATGTCCTTTCCCGGGACTCAAACTATCTCTATGCCAAATTTCATTAAAATTCGGTTTAGTGGTTTAGGCGTGAAAGAGAGACAGACAGACAGAGTTACTTTCGCACTTATAATATTACCCCCTTACTACTAAAAAGTTACACAGTTGTTGATCACCGTTTTACATCTTCAGGATTTTCAAATTCAAGCGTAAATCTGAGTTTTACAACTCAAAGTCAAAGTCAAAGTCAAAGTCAAAATTTCTTTATTTGTTTGGACTAATAAATAGTTCTTACAAATCGTCATTTTGCTCTTAAGGAGCCTCTACATGTCTCATAATCTTTTTACCCTACCAGCGCTTCGAGACCAACATTTGGCAAGTGCTGAGAAGAAGCGCCGCAACAAACTCAGTCACCACTGTCTGCCGGTTAATATAAATAAATAGAAATAGTAGTAGTAGGTACATTCGATTCAGGAGCAGTTCACTGAATTTACCATGCATTCTTGTATGGTGTATCTTATAAGAATGGGTATACAAGATTGCGTGGTATATTAAACAAGGTAGTGACGTGCTAATTTCTAGACTTACATATTAAGATACTAGTAGAAATGACTCGCATACATAAATTTGAATAACTTGGATTGACCAGTCCCCGAAAGCAGCGCCTGTTCACAGACATGACGAGTGAACCAGCCATCGCTTCACTCGACCATATTAGAGGGAATGTAACGACCCGCCTCACTACGCCACCACCCCAGAGACATTTTAGTGAGAATGAAAATTCCAAGTTATCTCTTAAAAAAAAAACTAACAATAAAGCTAAGTAACAGTCCAGATTGAGAAGCATGACACTATAACATTTGAGAAATTATTATTAGTTTATACATTACTTTTCATTTTAATTCTTTTTAGTGCGAGCATGAGAGGACCATAATCCTACTCCCAGGATGACACGAGTTGTATAATAGGCTTTTTTAAGCATGTGATCTTTAACTATATCTTTAAATTTATTATACGGTAGCTCTTTATATTTATCAGGGACTTTGGGACTTGTGACTTGTGTTGAAAGTGCTTTCGGGACTTGTGTTGAAAGTGCTCAAAAGTGGAGTTCTTCATGCGAAAATGCATGAAAACCAAAGACAAAAGTACCTAGATAGGTAGTGGTAAGATTATAAAGTTGCCTAGAGGTTCTCGGAATTACGTATTTACTTCTCAGTACACGCGAATCATTCACGCCGTTCTGGGATATGCGACGTAAATTACGTTAAGTGATGGATAATAAGGCAGAAATGTATGTTCCTCTAATGTATGAGCATTTACATGTAACATAACATTTAAATATTGTTCCAGGAGAGTGCTGAGCGATGATGGAGAGAGTTTATCCTAAAAATGCCTATTCTTGTATCTTAGAGGGCTGATTCGCAGTAGTAATATAATCGAAATGGTGACTTAGAATCGCCTTTTCTTGAGATGTTTTCTTATGAGAATAGGGATGATGACTGGGTAATGAAATCGAAATTCTATTTAGTCCGTCAGACAGATAATCAAAATTTTGGACACATGTTTTTGATTTTTTTTCATAATCGAATAATTACTGTTATATTCAGTTGAAATGTCGCATGACGTCACATTTGAGTAAAAATTCTACTCAAGCGTGACGTACCGCGCCATTTCAACTCGATGTACCTAGTACTGTTATTATTTAATTATGAAAGAAAATAAAAAATATGAGTCTAATATTTTCTAATTATCTGTCTGACGGACAAATAATTGAAATTTTGTCATCTTGCCTATTACTCGATGATTATGAGAATAAAATATCAAAATCAAAATATGTTCTGACTTCAGTATCAGGTATTCATACTTTTGACGAGAACGTTACGTGTAAATGCGTTAATGTAATTAATACCTTCTTGCGACAGACAAAATCAATCATTATTAGTCATTACTACGTTGACTGATTAATCTTCTCGATCTGGATCATGGGTTTGGTTTCTCTAAGCCTGCAAACATAATCAGTAGCCATTGATCTAAAATATTATGGCTGAGTTGCACCACCTAACTTTAACCGTAAGTGTAACGTTAACCGGTGTTTATTGTATGGAGTTTGACAGTTTTTTGACGTAATTGTCAAAGTTAAAATAAGATGGTGCAACCCAGCCTAACAGTTATTATTATAACTAGACACAAAAATGTAAAATACGATGTAAAACATTTGCCAAAACAGCGAATAAATTCCGACAGAAGACTATGTTAATAATGTAGGTAATAACATTTTGCTCTAACATAGAATGCCTTTAGCACAGACGGATTAACAAAACCAAGGATTAAGCAACAATATTACAATACAGAATTTAATACTAATTTGAATCCATCGTCACTTGTCCTCTCACTTGGAAACTTACAAACGAATTTCACCCAAATTATCTAGGAATTCTGACGTTGAAATAAGATTAAACTCGGTGACAAACTAAATTTATGAAATTAGAGCAGCTGGATGTTTAGGCGGACATTTGCGTAAATATCCACTGATGAGTTTAGTTGTTGGCTCTACTTGTTTGGATTACTTCACTCAAATATGTTAAACTTATTTGATTTGTGTCGTATCATAAAGGGCCGCTAGAAACTGGAAACAGTAGAATAATTTCATTGTATTTGATTTGTGTCATAATGTCTTACTGGGTGGTCACAAAGGGCTACAATAGAAACAGGTGAATAATTTCATTGGGACCTACTTAGTTTGGAGGAAAATGCAGAGACAATATAATTATGACAATATAGCGAAGAAGTGAGTAAAATATTAGTTTTGATGTTCAAAAAGGTGAAAAACTGAATAATGAACTAATAGGAAAAGTAATACTAAAGAAGAAACGTTTTTCTTCAATATCCATTTTCAGCTGACCAAGCAATAGGTATTAATCAGTTGAAAAGAAGAAAGGAGAAGATCAAAATACATTTTTGATTAATCATCAAAGTTTTAGAGTAACTAATAAATATTCTGTTAATTTATTGTCTCAACTCCTTGAGAACTTAAACAATTAATTTTATTGCTACGTACAAAATTAATAATAACAATACAATTCCTATTTCACTAACTAAAGAGATATTTTCTAATTGTTCATCAAAATTATGAATTCCATGAATATCAGGAGAGGCAGCATGAATCTTTCTTTACTAACGAGTAATACCTAGTCTCGCAAAGTAAAATATTGATCACTCTATTGTCAAACATCGTTTCAGCAAACTTTTCGTCTGGTCCCAAATAGAGTTAGCGAGTTTAAACGAAGCTCCGTCAATGATAGCGCGGAGACAGGGAATTGTAAACTCATATAAAAGCAATTTCGTTTCAGACATTTCGATAAAAAGACCGGCGTCTAACCATAAAGATTGTTAGTAACGCTCTATCATGGTTGTGTATGAATCGAGTTCGAGTATCTTGATTGTACTCGGACCGCCTCGTCTGGAAACTCGAATTCGATTCATTCGAAATTTTGGTATCAACCGGCCAGTATGCGAGCGATTGCCGCGCGAAGTGGTTGTGCGCCGATTCTGTGTCGTCTTGGATCGCAACTTCCCGCCTTTCCGATAGTTAATATTGAAAAGTAATTAACTTGCTTCAAAGTGTCTGTTAAAAGTGTGAAAATGACGAAAAGTGACCACTTTTTGTGATACAGCAACTGTGTTTCTAGTGTTTTAGTTTTGAAAGTTGTGAAGTTTGGTTTGCGTGCTGTGGATTTTTGCTAACTGCCGGCGATTCTTATGTGAGTACGGTGCATTCTCGAAGTTTTAGGTTAGGAATAAATTGTGCAAGTAGTTAATCTTTGCCCTTAATCTACATTTATACTGGATTATCAGTTTGATGCAATACTATAGCATTATCAATATTATCATCTATGAGTAACAGTTGTTTGTTTTTCAGCAAAGTAGTTTTGAATGATCAAACGAACTTACCAAGTGAAGTTNATGTGACAAGAGGCAAACGAGCAGACGGATCACCTAATAATGAATGGTTACTGATAATGAGCCTATATGGACTAGCAAATAATTAACGTGTTTTTGTAAAATCACAGGTATCAAACAAACTTTTTACTCCTTCATTATATTACCCTGTTTTATGTTGGCGGAACGAATTTTAGAGTCATTCAAATCACGTGTTAAAAAAATTGTAGAGAGTGGTAAAAAACTTGAATATGCTTGTAATTTGTTCCTTCTACTTACAAGCATATTCAAGTTGGTACAACTCACAAAACCATCATCATGTCAGCCATAGGACGTCCACTGCTGAACACAGGCTCCGATGCTGATTTTCACAATGGCCGGTTGGTGGCGGCCTGCATTCAGCGCCTTCCTGCTACCTTTATGAGGTCGTCGGTCCACCTTATGGTTATGAGTCCTACGCTGTGCTTTCCGGTACGTGGCCTCCACTTCAGAACCTTGCTGCCTCATCGTCCGTCTGTTTTGCGTACTAAGGCAGAACCGTTGGAAGACCTTATCACAATGCTCGAAGACCTTAATTGAGTTTCCCAACAGGTAGGCCTTCGGATGAATATGGAAAAAACGAAGCTTATGTTGAATGTCCATGTTGCTCCTTACCCAGTTTCGATTAGGAGCTCGATTCTCGAGATTGTTGACAAGTAAGTATGTCTATCTCGGACAAACGATCAGCTAGGTAGTTAGATGCAATTTCGAGAAAGAGGTAAATCGTCGAATACGAAGACGAAAGTCTTCAATTAGTGTGTGTTACCAGTGATGATATACGGCTCGAAAACGTGGCCTTTGAATATAGGGCACAACGTGCTATGGAGAGGGATAAGCTTGGTGTTTTTGTTACAACCAACCTTGTGTTGGGTCTAATTCTCGTCACTACACTGCACAACCTAAAATAATTACGTTTTTTGTCGGTAAAAAACGTCCTGGTGACGTCACTTAAGCATTTTTCTTATACTGCGTGCGGTCGTTGCGCGTGCGCACAAAGGAATGAGACCGCTCGGACACCGAGCCCACAGCGTGGTAGGGGTGGGGTTGCCCGCTCTTTTGTTTTTTACTACTACTGCGCTGAATATTGTGTGCGGATTGACTTGTCGTACAGGGGTACTACATGGTAAAATAAATCTCGGAGGCGAAAGCAGGATAATCCTTATCAGACTTTAATAAACACGTTACTGCTAAACCGGATCTGATGAAATCTAAATGGTATCAACAGCTGCTTCTTAAATTTACCTTATTATAAAACCTGTCAAGTGATTATTAAAATTAATCACGTAAAAGTAAAAATAAGTAGCTCAAGTTAAAATTTGAAATATAATCATAAATTATACTTCTAATAGACGTTTCCCGTTTAATAATGATACTAATGAACTCGATTTAGATGTAGAACAGAAATAATCGTGATTGAGGATAAATTAACTCGTTTACCTACCTATTAGAAGGGTAGCCGTGATTAGAAATATAATTGATAGATAGAAAAAGACAGTTATTGTTAATTGGATGAGGTCAAAAAAATTACGTTGAATAAAAAACTACCCGCTTAAAATACCCGCGTCATGAAACTTATACGAGTAGGACACTCTAAAATATTTTTCTCCAAATTACCCAATTTGTCCAGCAGTGGACGTCTTTCGGCTGAAACGAACGAACGAACCTAATTTAAAATATTTAATAACTAGTATTTCAATCCAGTCTAACGTGGCGTTGATTTTGGTTTTCGATTAAAACTTTTATTTAAGTATGCTAATGAAGTTTGATTTTTGAAGTCTTGGAAGAATATTTTTAAAGCAACGTGATATTTTGGATGTTGATGTTCAACCTTTAAAAAAGGGGGAGGTAGGAAAATCACTGCTACTTATTCCCAAACCTACTTATCCACTTAATAAGAACTACATGCGGTGCCTAAAATTCTCATTTTCCACGACAAGGCTGCAAATCTTTCTTGGATGTGCAGGTTTTATTGTGCCATAAAACGCAAGTTCCTTTTGTTTCTTTCCCGCGAACACATACTATGGAGGTTATGGTTGATTGTATTACCTTCCAGAATATTCTCGCATGGAATCAGCTTTTACTACAGCCGTGGGCAGAATTGGCAAATTGCGCGTTCTGAGTTATAGGGACTCAACAAGATACTCTATACACCTAAATTGCAATAAGAAGGAGATCTCATTGGAATTATTTCGCTTGGTGATCTTGCATTTATGGGGGTTAATTTAACCGCATTTGTCAGACTGTTTTCTTAGAAACGTGGATTTCAAATGGGTTTGTAAAATGAAATTTATAGTTTTCGCTTTCTTATCTGAATTTCTTTGTAGATGGTTATAAACATCCATAGCTGCACTTAATTGCATAATAAGAAAGACACCATTTTAAAATCATACTAAGAAGTATCATAATAAAAAGAAAAGAAAATTACAATAACTGTGGTTTTATCACCGCAGATCTTCTATTGCTTTTAGTAAGTTTAAAAATATTCTCCTTTCCTTCGAAAATCCGAATCCGAAGGATATATACGAGTACCTACCTAGGTCTGGAATACAAATCTCTTTTTAGTTACATTCATGCAAAACATCACTACTATTTTATCTCCGATGTCTAGCTCCGTCAAACAGGTTTTTCACAAAAAATCCTTTGCCGCGACTCCAAGTAGGTTTATTTGCTGAACGTTCACAGAATTCCACTCCAAAGAATTAAACTGGACCGTTCAAAGAAAAGCATTGACTGCTTTGTCCGACAAAAACTGCACCAGAACCGTAGATCAATTTCCTGAAACGAGTGATAAGTTCTTTGCTGCATGCTAGTGAGTTTTTTTGCATTGACTAGATTAGCATTCAGATTTTTTGTACTATACTACAAACGGTATCAAAGGAATTATACCAAAATGACTGACAAAAAATAACTAAGTGTGAGGATAAAATAGCGGGATATTTTCCTGTTTGGTTTATTAAGTCTGTTTTAGACTAAAACTTCTATTTTCATTAGATGTATTGGCAATAAGACAAGATTATTAATGAAGAATGACTTTAATAGACTGACTTTCGGACAACTAATTAGCTAACGGTAAAATGGTATTGGCAATCGAATTTAATATCGAATTAATCGTCTTAACATCTTACATTCACACTTTATCATTATCTTATCGTTTCAATCCTGCTGCTGTTCAAATTACAAGTGATTTATGCAGTTTATCTTGCCCCACTTTTGGCTCCACTTTTGGCTAGTATATAGCTGACGCTTTTTTAAGATCGCCGCTATTTCATTAGTATTTGGCATGACCAATGTGAGTTAATTTATGCCAAGAAACAAAAGAATATATTCTTGGCTTACGCAAAATTGCTTTCTCCAAATGTTTGGAAAAGGGTCGACTCCATGTCTGGTATTTGAGTAAGAGCCTCGAGTGTTGTTTAAGCCACCTTGAATGTTGCTGACAAGCTCTCCCGCAATCATAATGGTAAAATCTGACCTGGCGACCCTGTAGCTGCGTAACAATACCTTTTGGACCCCTGTTTGTGCAGGCGCAGTGTTAAGATAATTAACACAGATATCTGTATGTTTTTTGCTGAGCAAATACATTCAAACCAGACTCGAAATATTTACAATTTCTCGCACGAGTATCATCATTGTGCAGCCATCACAATAATAATACCCGTGTATTGTGTATCATTGAATGAAATGCTATTACCAATTTGTGAAATTTATACGCGTATTCGTTCCGAGAAAACGTCAGCGTGTTTATTTTGTTAATTTCATTTCGAATTAAATAAATGTTATTGCTTATTTAAGGCGCATCTTGTTTCTTAATTTCGTTATTATTAATTTATCTTATGACACTCATGTGTGTCTGTTTTGTATGTGTATTTTCATTTACCTGAGTGCTTACTTATTTATTTAATTTAATTACTTGCGTACTTAGAACGCCACTTCCTTACGTTGAAGTACTGATAGCACATCAGTCTTTATATTTTTGTTGCGAAATAGCGTCTATCACAACTGAATAAGACATCACATGTTAAACTTGATGTGCCTCCCGGGGTAAATTTGAGTAATTTGAGAAGTTTAGTAAGTTTATGTGCCCAAAACTTGGAAGGCTAATTTCTTGTTTGTTTTTGGTTCATGTCCGCGCATTATTCATAAGGGCAGAGAGCAGTCTTAGTAATTAATTGTTATCCAAGGGATTCGTGGTCAAGGGCTTTCTTGAAATTCTGGATTTGAGGACTAAAGTCTGTTAAAGATCACTTACATTACAATATTCAAATTCCAAGATTGCATTTCTAAATACCTATACTCAGAAATGTTTGCGTTGGTATATTATTATTATAGGTTTATTATTCTGGTAATAGCTCCGTCCAAGAAAACTTGTTACGTCGGTTTTTATTTGCACGCTATTAGATGTTTAACAAGTTCACGGTCAAATCTGTATTGTGTCTGTGTAGCCTTGTCTACATTACAACTGATTCTGATATTGTACGTACATCTTATTGTTCACTAGTATTAGAAATTAATAATAATGATGGTTTGAGGCCTAGTGGTCAGAGAATTAGACTTTTCGCTACAAAGGTAGAACCCATTCCCAGAAGCGACATACAAATTGATAAATCACTTGGTGTAAATTATTACCAGTTTCCTATTTTCTACATCTCTTACAGTTCAATATTCCAATCCAATTTGGGTATGAAACTTCTTCTGAAATTTTATTTACTATCCAGTATGTTTGTTTCATTTCACTCTTTCATTTTAAAATTGTGACCATCAAGGGTCCATTTTACGCTTTGTG